AGCACTCCAGGTGATTTATGAACATGAAATTAGCCAGCCATGGCTTCCTGTTTCACAGGAATATAAATAGGAGGGAAAACAAAGGCCAAATTCCAAATTAATCACCCATCACAATGAGAAAAACCAAAGAATATATTTCTGATGTGCAGCAAATTAGCTTCACAAATTAGAAAGTGGCTTTAAGAATAGACCTAGATCAGTGAAAATTCCCATTTCCACCATCAGGGCAATAATTAAGAAGTTCCAATCAACAGAAAATGTTATGAATCTGCCTGGAAGAGGACGTGTTTCTATATCGTCCTAATGCACGGTGAGGAGGAGAGTTTGAGTGGCTAAAGACTCTCCAAGGACCACAGCTGGAGAATTGCAGAAAATAGTTGAGTCTCAGGGTCAGAAAACCTTAAAAAATATTATCAAACAGCACCTACACCACATGTTGTTTGGGAGGGCTTCAAGAAAAAAAATCAAGAAAGGAAAATGCTTCCACCAAAAAACAATCTCCAGCATATTCAGTTGCCAGACACGACTGGAACTTCAAATGGGACTGGCTTCTATGGTCAGATGTAACTAAAAAATTAGGCACACAGGGATAAAAAGTACCCCATGTGTACAATGAAATATGCTGCTGTATTTTTAATGTTGTGGGCCTATATTTCTGCTGGAGGTCCTGGACATCTTGTTTAGACACATGGCATCATTGATTCTATCAAATACCAACAGATAAAAAATCAAAAAGTGACTGACTCTGTTAGAAATCTTATAATGGACCATGTTTGGATCTTCCAACCGTACAATAATCCAAACACAAACCTCAAAAACAACACAAAAATGGTGTCACTGAGCACAAAACCAAGCTTCTGCTATGGCCATTCCAGTCATCTGACCTGAACCCTATAGAAAATGAGTGGGGTGAAAATATCTAACCTTTCATTGAACTAAAACAATTGAAAATGGGGGGAAATCTCATTATGAAATAATTGTTTTTGGACACAATTATTGGTACCCCTAGAAATTCTTATGAGTAAAATATCTGTGAAGTATATTCCCATTCATATTTACAATTTTGAGCATACCAGGGTGATTATGAACATGAAATTATCCAGCCATGGCTTCCTGTTTCATAGGAATATAAATAGGAGGGAAAACAAAGGCCAAATTCCCTTAATCATCCATCACAATGAGAAAAACCAAAGAATATATTTCTGATGTGCAGCAAAAGATAATTGAGCTTCACAAATTAGAAAGTGACTTTAAGAAAAGAGCTAGACTTCCCATTTCCACCATCAGGGCAATAATTAAGAATTTCCAATCAACAGAAAATGTTACAAATCTGCCTGGAAGAGGACGTGTGTCTATATCGTCCTAATGCATGGTGAGGAGGAGAGTTTGAGTGGCTAAAGGCTCTAAGGACCACAGCTGGAGAATTGCAGAAAATAGTTGAGTCTCAGGGTCAGAAAACCTTTAAAAAAAAAAATCACACCTACACCGCATGTTGTTTGGGAGGGTTTCAAGAAAAAAAATCAAGAAAAGAAAATGCTCTCATCCAGAAGCAATCCCCAGCATATTCTGTTGTCAGACACGACTGGGACTGGGACTGGCTTCTATGGTCAGATGTAACTAAAAAAATTAGCTTTTTAGCAGCAAACCCTCAAGATGGGTTTGGTGAATACAGGGACAAAAAGTACCTCATGTGTACAATGAAATATACTGCTGTATTTTTAATGTTGTGGGCCTATATTTCTGCTGGAGGTCCTGGACATCTTGTTTAGATACATGGCATCTTTGATTCTATCAAATACCAACAGATAAAAAATCAAAAAGTGACTGACTTTGTTAGAAATCTTATAATGGGCCATGTTTGGATCTTCCAACCGTACAATAATCCAAAAACAAACCTTAAAAACAACACAAAAATGGGTCACTGGGCACAAAACCAAGCTTCTGCTATGGCCATTCCAGTTCCCTGACCTGAACCCTATAGAAAATGAGTGTGGTGAACTGAAGAGGAGAAGCTGGGAATCTGAAGGATCTGGGGTGATTCTAGATGAAGGAATGGTCTCTGATCTCTTGTCAGGTGCTCTCTAACCTCATCAGGCATTATAGGAGAAAACTCCTATACTATTTTGGCAAATGGAGGTTTCAAAAAGTATTGAATAAAAGGGTACCATTAATTGTGTCCAATGTGTATTAGAGAAAAACATTTATTTCATAATGATATTTCCCCCCATTTTAAATTCTTATTCTCCAATGAAAGGTTAGATTTTTGTGAATTTTTAAAATAAAAGATCAAAAGGATTAACAATGCAGATTTATTTTCATAGCCTTCTTTGATCATATTTACCAAGGGTACCACCAATTCTGACCACGTGTGTAATCATCACAACTAAATGATCTGCATCAGCGTAAACTCATTTTTAAAAAGGCTCACACCTCTGACTGCATTTCAATTCAATTCCATTTTAATTTGTAAAGTTGTGACATTACTTGGCAACCCAAAATTCTCATTAAATCTCATTTCGGAGGTCCTCCGGAGGTCGTATTTGTTGGCCGCATACGTCATCGAGGCGGTCTCATTTAAGAAAAGTAACCGTTAGATTGCAAAGTAAGAAAACAATAACAGTATTTTACACCTCACGAGGAGTAATAGTCGATTTTAATATGGTTACCTTTCTTAAATGATGTATACAGCCTACAAATGCGACCTCCGAAGAATGCAGCCTCTGCAGCTTTTGTCTTGATTTTTCCTGCTCTGTTTACACCACGGGAAAATAATATAAAGCTTTCCTGCCCAATATATCTTTCCTGTTATATAGAGTGGTGGTACTGTCATACCTCCAAGCCCTAAATACTCCAACTACAGTAAAACCATTTAAAAGTGTCTTTATTCGAGTGGGTATCATATGGAAAACATCCTTTAATCAGTCACATCCAGATGACCCTAAGTCCCTTTGACATTCATTTCTAAGTCATTGCCTCACCCTGCCACATCCAAGCCAACTCAGAAGGGGGTGCATTCATGCTCCAGTGATGAAGTTTCCATTATGGGAGGGAGGGAGGGACCACAGAGGTCTCTTTGTTGCTCAGATCTGCATATGGCTGTGTGCATGTAGGTGTAAGTGGAAAGGGGGCAGAGGAAAACCGCCGTCTTTGTTCGTCCATTTGGTCAAAAGATGCTCAATATCTCTTTTAGTTTTACCATTTAACGTGACCATTATGCTGTTTGAGATTTTCATGACAAGCAAACACATTGATCACTGATATCAGTCAATAATGTTATCAGTTGTAGATAAACCAGCAGACTGTTTTCACTCATGTATGCAGCTATATGGCTTCACTCACCTCACTGCTTTTGTTTTTTTAGATCTGGAAAGGTTTGGACTCCAGCTGGAATAGAAGAAAACAAGACAAGTCCATTCACCGGCACACTGGAGTCTGAGTCACAGGTATAAAGGCTGTTGGCATAGATATAATGTATAATGGGGTGCTTTTAAACCCTCACAGCTTAAATTACGTTTTAATTCAAGGCATTTAGCAGATGCTTCTGTGGAGCAGCATAATTCTTTTGGCTTCACATGTGAGCATGTTGTGATCAACAGATGTTTCTTTGAAGAGCAGCAGCTGTCTTGACCATTCACAGGAATATAAACAACTATACAATGCTGAAATGTGACCCTGGACCACAAAACCAGTCATAAGGGTCAATTTTTTTAAAATTGAGATTTATACACCATCTCAAAGCTGAATAAATAAGCTTTCCATTGATGTAAGGTTTGTTAGGATAGGACAATATTTGGCTGAGATACAACTATTTGAAAATCTGGAAACTGAGGGTGCAAAAAAATCAAAATATTGAGAAATTGGTCTTTAAAGTTGTCCAAATGAAGTTCTTAGCAATGCATATTACTAATCAAAAGTTAAGTTTTGATATATTTACAGTAGGAAATTTACAAAATATCTTCATGGAACATGATCTTTACTTAATGTCCTAATGATTTTTGGCATAAAAGAAAAATCTATAATTTTGATCCATACAATGTATTTTTGGCTATTGCTACAAATATACCCCAGCGACTTAAGACTGGTTTTGTGCCCCAGGGTCACAAATGAGTCTTTAAATCCTAAAATAAATAAATAAATAACATTACAAAAGCCACCTTCGAAATTTGAGGACCAGTTGAAGTCAAATATATTTATGTTTTGCTGTCTGATCTGTTTTGTATGGACCTTGTTTCTGACACAGGATAAAAAAGATCCTGTGTCTTTTTTAGAAAAAAAGAATTTTCTCACAATTCTGATTTTATTAAAATTTTAATTCTGTCTCTTTTTTTTCTAAATAGAATTGTGAGTTATAAACTCACGATTGCGAGAAAAAAAATTGTGAGATAAAAAGTCGCAAATACCTTTTTCATTTTGAATTAGTGGTAGAAACTAAAAACAGAATTGCAAGATGTAAAGTCAGAATTGCAAGAAAAAAATAATTCTGAGTTTATATCTTGCAATTCTGATTTTATATTCATATTTTTCCTCCGAATTCTTATTTGCGAGGGAAAAAAGTCTGAATTGTTAGATAAAAAGTCACAATTACTTTGATCATTTTTATGCTATGACGGAAACTTGCTTCTATAGTATTGAAAAGGAAAGTAGCAACAGTTTCTTTATGGAAACTAACTAATAATGTGACACATGGTACCTTCATGTATGGTATAAGTCAATGAAGTGAACACATTTTTTTAGTTTGACAACCAAAATGTGAGTGATAGTTTACCAGGTCAGATGCATTTACAAGGAAGGTGCATCTATTGAAATGAATGCATGCTTATTTGGCTCTTTAGAAATGGTCAAATATATTAAAAACTTATATATATCACTGTGATCTGCTTTGAAACAATATATGTTGTGAAACATTCTAGTCAAATTGATTTTTCCCTATACAGTTTTTGTTTTATCCAGCTGTATTTAGTTAGTGCAACTAATAACATCCAAGTGAAAGATATAACACCAACATGTCAGAAAAAAAAAAAAATTAATCACTGAGTTGGAAAAAGGATCACCCCCTTTGTGTCAGTATTTTGTTGAACCAGCTTTTGCCCACTCTTCTTTGCAGAACTGCTCGAGTTCAGTTAATTTGATGGTGAACGTTTGTGGACTGCAGTCTTCAAGTTCATTCCACAGATTTTCAGTGGGGTTTAAGTCTGGGCTCTGACGAGACCATGCAAGGACATTCACCTTTTTCCTCTTTCAACCACTGTGTGCTCAGTTCTGCTGTGTGCTTTGGGTCATTGTCATGTTGGAAGGTAAACCTTCTTCCCTATTCACAACTTTCTGGCGGAGGGCAGCAGATTTTCCTCAAGATTTTGACGGTATTTTGCCCCATCCATTTTTCCTTCTATCCTGACAAGTGCTCCAGTCCCTGCTGCAGAGAAACACCCCATAACAGGATATTACCACTTCCATGCTTTACTGGAAGAATGCTATTATTTGGATGGTGAGATGTACTGGATTTCCGCCAGACATATAATTTGGTGTTGAGGCCAAAGAATTCAATTTTAGTCTCATCTGCATCAGAATCTTCAAGGTGCATTTTGGCAAAGCTCAGTCGTGACTGCATGTGGCCTTTCTTAAAATGAGCACAGCTGATCACAGCTGAAAGTCAAATGGCTTTGTGTACCATTGAGAAGGTGATGAGATACACCTGATTGAGTTTACAAGTCATTTTTAGGAGGGGGTGATCCTTTTTCCAACTCGTGGTTTTTTTTTTTGTTGTTTTTTTTTCTGACATGTTGGTGTTATATCTTTCACTTGGATGTTATAAACTGCACTGAGTAAATATAGCTGGATAAAACAAAAACTGTGTCCATCTTCATTTCAGGCTGCAAAGCAACAAAATGTCATTATTTTAAAGAGGGTGGTGACTCTTTTCTATACCCACTGTATCACAGTACAGTCTAAAGGTGCTAAATGGGGATGTGCTGTTTGGTTGATATTCTGGAAAGCAAAGAGGACTTTTTGCTGGAATTTAAAGAGATAGTTGACCCAAAAATGAAAATTCTGTCATCTGTAACCAATCAGTTGCTGGTAGCCATTGACTCCAAAGTATTTTTTTTCCATAATATGGAAGTCAATGGCTACTAGCAACTGATTGCTTACCAACATTCTTAAAAATATCTTCTTTTGCGTTCAACAGAACAAAGAAACTCATACAGGTTTGGAACAACACAAATTAAATTTTACTATCCTACAATATTGCTTTTAAATTCATCCAACCTAACATGCATTCTCAACATGATGCTAAAGCTTTCTTTCTATTCAGTCATGTCATGAAAAATAGTGAATTTCAGATATTTTGTGGTACATGAGACAGATGGTCTGAAATGGTTTTTGGCCCTGACATTGGAATCGGTTGGGCATTGCACAAATCTTCAGTAAAATCCCATTCACATTTGGTGGCTGTATGTCATAACGTCTATAAAGTGTGTTTTCCAGAGCAGATGTGTGCCTCATGCTGACATGTAAGTCACTGTGGCTTCTGCCATGGCCACTGGAAAGTATGAATGTTGAAAGTCTGTAAGAATAGTGATAGAACAAGTCACGTCATTTCCAATGGAAGTAGACACAGCCAAGCATGTGGTAGAGCCAAATAATTTTTCAGAGGCTGTATTTTAACCCAGACTGTGTAGGTCAGAGCATAACTGAGGTATCGTTTCATTGCTCGGAATTCTTGTTACCTCAGAGTTGTAATATGAGACGGAATTTATTTTATGAATGGAACAAAATTGCCCATTGCCTGTGATCCGCCAGGCTTTTAAGGCCCTCTTATATAGCCCTAATTTTTTTTTTTTTTTAATAAATACATTATTATTATTTCTCAAAATTCAGTTTAATTCTTGGTGTTCCCCGTTTTTATTTGTACTTTTCCAGTTACGTGACTAATCATTATCAAACCATTATTGATTATACTTAGAATCCGTTTGGAATAATTTAGATTTTTTAATGTTTAAATGAAGTCTCTTCTGCTCATCAAGCATGCATTTATTTGATCAAAAATACAGTAAAAACAAAAATATATCATTACAGTTTGATGATCCTTCAGTAATGATTCTAATACTGCATGTTGATTTGGTGCTCAATTATTATCAGTTATCATTGGTGCTCAATTATTAATAATGGTTCTTATTAGTATCTATGATGGAAACAATTTTTGCTTTTTCAGGATTTTTTATGAATATAAATTTCAAAAGAACAGCATTAAAACAGATATCTTTTTGTAACATTATAAACATTTACTGACACTTTTGATTAATTTAATGCATCCTTGCTGAATAAAAGTATTAAGTTCTTTCTTCTTCTTCTTTTTTTAAAACCTACTTACCCTAAATCTTTGAATGGTAAAAATGTATCACAGTTTCCACAAAAGTATTATGCAGCAACAACTGTTTTCAACATTGAAAATAATAGGAAATGTGATATGCAAATCAGCATACTAGAATGATTTCTGAAGAATCTTGCACCACATGAATAAATAATAGTCACTTTTTTTTTGTATTTTATCTCAAATATCTTGCAATGTATGGTGCATTTTGTGTACTGTAACCTATTTTGCTTAATTAAATCTTAAGTCTTAAATTGCATATTTTTTTATGTATATTTAGTAGTTTGCTCTGTATTATTTGATGGTGAGCTGGTGATGTTATGTTATGGGGCTGATGCTGGGAGTGTTTTTTTTTTTTTTTAGTCTTGTCAAAAGCAGTAATATGGTTTCCATCAGGTCCTCCCTTTAACTTCTATATCTCCCTTGCAGTGTTCAAGTCGATATCAACCTCCATAAATCAGGGGTAATTTCCCCACAGCAAGCCTTAATTAATAAAAGTAGGTTTGGGGTCCGTTAAGATTTATTCAGTTCATTTCTAGCAGTCTGCTGCAGTAGCAGGGCTCTTTGGATGGTTCTGAATGTTCTGGCTCTGTGGGCCGTCACCCAGAACCAAAGGGCATGCTGGGATAGCATTGTAACACAGGTCAGTGAAACCTGATGATGGTCAGGATTTATTAGCAGACACAAACACTCTTCATAAATATTTTCCTGGTCTTTCTGTTTTTCTGGAGGGCCCTCACTGATGATTATGAGGAAACTAGCTTTACCCTGCAAAGTTTACTTTAGGAAAGTCATTGCTGTCTGTTTGAATCTTACAAAACATGTCCAGGTTGTATTTCGTTCAAAAAGAAAAACAAGAAATTAAATTTTGCATTTTTTACTGTATCGCCCTGATGAGGATACTGTACCTCATCTTTTGAGTCATCATTATTCTCTGGAAATTCTCATTAAGTAGTAATTGCATTAATAAATAAAATGCAGTACGACAAATACTGTTGATGATTAGTAACACTTTACAATAAGATTTCATTTGTTATCATTAGTTAACTGCATCCTGTTACCTAATGCATTATTAAAAGCTAAAGTTGTACGTTTATTTTTATTAACAGAAATAAGCAAGATGAATGAATAGTGTAACAAATGTAATTCTTTAACTGTAATGCTCTAATGCATTAACTAATCTTAACTAATGGGACCTTATTGTAAAGTGTTACCAAATACTTATATATATTAATAATAATAATTTATCTTTTTTTTTTTTGCATAACAGTAATTTAAATTGCACTAAAGTAAAAGTAAATAGCATAAATACAAAATTTAAAAATAAATAAACAAAATATAAATTATTATTTCTTTAATAATACATATTTTTTTATTTAAATTTAAATTTAAAATGTGGAGAGTTAAAAGGAGAGTTTGTTTCAATGGCTGCTATTTCAGTGTTCCTCTACATTTACTGTACTGCAGAATAGGTTACATAAATCAATTTAATGAGACAAAAGCCTTATCCAGATTTATTAAATAACAAAAATGTAAGCTTATATAGTGACAATTTATGGTTAAAAAGGTACAGCGGTACAATTGAATGGTTTTCAGTGTTAGACTACAAAACTGGCTCTTTTATAAGCTATACACCAGATGTGTAGACTAGTAAATCTACCATTTTTATTGCAGTTACACCCTTTTGTGGCAGACGTTTGAAGTAAAGAAGCATGCATCATAACACAGGTCTTCAACGGCTATTTTTTAGCAACAAGAAGATTTCTGCCAATGTTTTCTCTATAGAAATGCCTCTGGATGTTGCGTCCTCAACAGGGCTGTAAACATTATCTATAGCAGGACTAGCAGTCTATTTGTTGGTCTAGTTCAATTTAGAGGTTTTCAGTTTTCAGTCTCTATGTTTCCTTCCCAGTAAAAGAACAATCTGTATTGGCCTGCATTGTAATTGTTTTCAAGTATTAACATTTTTATATACTTTAGATGACCTTAATGTTTCTGTTCAGTGTTAATCAGCTAGTTGCGGAATCATTGCTCAAATACTGTAAAACAAACAATGTTTGTAATTATAAAATAACAAATGTTTATATAATGATAAATGATCTGCTGTTCAGGTCTAACCAATCTTGCTCGTTTCAAGACCAGAGTCTGTAAATTTGTGACATCTGATGTCAATTGAACTGCTTTGTGAAGTTTGATTTTTGGGAGGTTTTGTATCCATATTGCCTCCAAGCTTTTCCAAGATTTTTAAAGGTTCCATGTACAGTATATGATGAAATAAATTAAATATATTTACAATATATTTTTGTTTTATATTTTAAAATGTGTGTGTTTATATATATATATATATATATATTAGGGGTGTAACGGTACACGTATTCGTACCGAACCGTTTCGGTACGCGTCTTTCGGTTCGGTACGCATGTGTACCGCACGAATACAGTTTTTTTTTTTTTTTCTTCTCAGGAAATTCAAATAATAAATGCCGTTTTGACCGTCTTTTATGTGGCATGACAGATCGCTGTATAAACGCCTTAGAGAGCCGCTTCTGGGACGGTTCAGAAACGTGCTGGTATAATCCCAACACAAGCACTGACTAGAGCGGCCGCGATCAGCTCCGGTTCCCGTGTCTGAGCCGTGACGCCCCGCAGATTTGTGCAGAGCGGAGCGCGAGTGAACGCGATCATTCCTTCCTTTGTACTACTAGTTTTAACGCGAATAAACATGACTGAACATCTCATGCCTCATATAATTGCTCAATCAGTGTTTCAACCGCGGAAAAACATCAACAATACAGCGTGGAAATAAAATGTCACGTAGCATTTAATTTACCTCAGCAAGTCATCAGTGTCCACAGCTCGTTAGTTCACTAGAGAAATGAAGTCTAGAGAGGAGCATTTTGCGAAATATTACACCATATACTCATCATATTTTACTAAACCTGTTAGTCTTAATTACTTAATGTACAGTATGTTTAAATTAATCTGTTATGAAACATGCTATGACAGCCATTGTGTAATTGAATATATTTTAACAAATAGCTTAGAAATGTTATTATTTATAAGTTAATTTAAAAACTGCACTATGTGCAATTTACATGTTTGCATACAATTTTTTTTATTTTATTTTTTTTAAGTTGAGTGTTGATCATCTATTTAAAAATAAATAGCAATTAAATTTAAGTTTGGGTTAAGTTGTTAGGCCTAATTGTAACCTTATAATGTAAAAGGGCTCCCTATAGTTTTAAGCATAAGCTGAGGTAGATTTTTATCACTAAGAACATTTAAACTATAACTGAATGTATTTAAAGAAAGAGCAACTTGTTCAGTAAACCATAAAAAAAAAAAAAAGTTTAGTTTTCCCCCCTGCTGTACCGAAATCATACCGAACCGTGACGTTAAAACCGAGGTACGTACCGAACTGTCATATTTGTGTACCGTTACACCCCTAATATATATATATATATATATATATATGTTTCTGTATGCTCTGAATATTTATTTGAAGGTATAAAACTTAAGCAAAGATCAGAATTGTCAAATGCAAAAATAACTTTCATTCAGTGAAAGCATCAGAACCTTTAAATGTTGCAGCTGTACAGTGTTTCTCCTCTTGGAAATTGTCATATTTTCATTAGAGCAAGTTTTCTGACACCAGTTTTTTACAGTCTTCTAAGATAAAGGAGCTTGATGTACTATGACAGCATATTGTAACTCAGTTATTTCTCCTCAATACAAAAAAAGAGCAAGACAAATTTCCACTTTGTGGACATTAAAAAAACTAACTACCATTTTTTGAGATGACCTGCAAGAACTTCTGCATCTTTCTGATGTCAGCTGGATGAAAAATTAGCATTAGCAAGTTTATTTTTATCCCTGATAATTTCAGTCTGATCTTTACGTTCAAGCGCCACATAGATTGTTTTGTAAACCTGCCATGCATTTTTGCACAGAAGCTGGATGGCGATGTTGGAACTAAAACTAAAATCTTATTTCATATTCAGTGAGGACAAAGATACAGTGGCAAAAAATTCTGTTTTTAACCTTATAAGTGGCCCTCAAGGGAACGAATAACATGATAAAATGCATATGAACCTACTAAATCGTTCATATTACTGCATAGAAATAGTCTCACACATTGTTTAAAATGAGCGACTGAGAACAGCTGGCTTCTGTCCACTCAAAATGAGAAATGCAATCTTCATACTGACTTGTTGCCCTTGGAACATTTTGTACCGTAATACAGAGGGATGTGAGATGTTTTTCATTGCCAACAGAAAACAGAACCTCTTTCTGAAAGAGATGAAAATGTGGTTTGCAGACTAATCTTTCTGCCCCCTGCTGTGGAGCTGAAAGACGGAATACTGCTTAGATGCCACAGCTTGACTCTTGGGATTGTTTATTTACCAAATAAAAAATAGAATCTAGAAGATAGAATTCTGTCATTATTTATTCACCTTTGTCTCGTTCCAAACGCAAATACACTTATTTTTTGTAAAACACAGTAGGATAAGCCATGCATTTTGGAATTGACTCTAAACAGTTGACTCTAAACAATCTATGTATGTACTTTAGGATGGATGTACATGTGCATGGCATATGCACGTCAGGTGCATGTCCTAGAATGTATTACACATATGATAAATACAGAGTTTTGGCATGAAACTTGACAGAAATATACATAGGTATAGGCTAAAGATATACGTGAATGTATTACATTTCTTCCCATTTCTAATAGATAGCATATTTACTTAATATGACAATGTATTTCATATAGGGAAATATAATATATTAGATTAACTGGCCTGGTATTTGCGGCATGCAGAGTTTTGAATTTGGCAGTGATTCATACTGGATAAAGTTTCTTCTTTTCTCAGAATTAGCCTTCAAGTACACTACTTCAGACAAACTCTTTAGCGAAAAAAAAAGCATCTCTACTCCATCTGCGAAGGATAACACAAATATGTTTTCTTAAATGACTGCTGATGTCATAAAATAGCTGCTACAACTTGTACTCAAGCGCTGAGTTGACCAGAGGCAAATGTGTATGATGGGAATTTGTGTGCAACAGTTAATATTTACATATTTGTAAGTAAGCTGTTTATTGGGTGCATGTCAGATCTGTAAACCTGTCAAAGGCTGTTTTACTGTTCCAGTCATGGATCATGCTGGACTCGTACAATCATCATAATTCGGTAGGGATGTAACGATTCACTCAGCTCACAATGTGATACGATTCACAATCCTGGTTTCACAATATGATTTTCTCAATTTTTTTTAACAAATGTCTCTTTATTACTTCTCAGACAAAATGATGCACATTTCTTTGTGAAATTGAAATATCTTTTATGTCAAATAACAAAAATTTTAAAACAAATCCTAAATCAAATAAATAAATAAACAAATAATACAACTAAAAGATATCTGTTCATATAAACATAGGTTTTATGCTCTTTCCTAGCTTGGATTTTTCCTAAAAAAAAATTTTCAATATCAACATGTCCACATTTTCCAGCAGAAAATGGACCTTGTACAGACAAAAAAAAGGTCTGACTTTAGCTTTGTGAAATTATGCTACATAAAACTACACAAAAGCAGGCAAACTGAATGAGACCCAAGCTCACTCTCTGACAGCAGGTGGCGCTTATGGAACAGCAGCGATACAGCATTTCCTAGGTTACAGCTGCGCTTATAAACACTACTTTAATATGCATTATACAGAGACAAGGTGAAGTTTTCTGAAGACAGTCAGTTTACTTAGAGATACAGTACATTCATATAAACCCCCACTCCTAACTGTATCGCGATTAGTTTTACATCTCAACCGACTTCAATCGTCACATATTTTCAACCGGCTCAGGGTACATCATTACATAGGCTACCTAAAATTCAAATGGGATAAGCTTTTAGTAAAAATTGGATAAGTTGCTCTGGAATTTTTTTTTATTAAAATCACTTTTTTTTCCACAGACCTTTCAACCAATCAGCAGTGGCTATAGCCCCACTCCCAAGAGTCCGTCCCCCAAGAGTCCCATCACAGGGGGTGTGCCCTACAATAACGGCAACTCCAGACCTACCTACAACAATCCAGCTGGCCTGTATTCACAAAATAACGGAAATGGTGCCCTACCGAAGCAGATGGCAGGCCTCAACCTGGGCTCCCCCCACAGGTGTGCCATTTTACAGCTATTCACACATGCACAGGAATAAAGTTTTTTTTTTTTTGGAATAACAATTAGACGAGGCACGTAAGGTAAATTAGGTCAGTTCTGATTTCACATTAACTGTACACTGCTAACTTCTAGCCAACACAAACCACACTGCTATTGCAACGGCCAGAAACTGATATTTATGATCCTCACAAGGCTGTGAGAAACAGTGATTTATCAAGGAAGCAATTTTGAGCATCTTTCCCACGTTGGAAATGTGCAGGTCCTGTCTTCGCTCAGAGCACTTCACAACAATAAACACTTCAGACTTAAAGATATTACAGCTCTTCATGCCTATTGTTATGTAAAAACGAGTTCATGCTAGAACTGGATTGTGAGTGAAGAGTCTTCAGGGAACATCTGCTGCACTGATATTTGCAAAACACCCTTGAGTTTTCTGAAGCACTAGAGTATTTGTATGATAGATATGGGTGATCGGGAAGCATTTGGTTGCTTGTAAAACCCGTTGTTTACTCTGAAGATGACAAATCCATTGTTTATGAAATCCTCCTGTACTTAAAGGGGTCATGAAGTGCCCTTTATTTATTATTTTGTACTGTTCTCCGAGGTCCACGTCTAATGTTATCAAGATTTTTACGTCAAAAAACATCATAATCTAGAAGTAATAGGCTATTTTCTGTCCTGTTTTGACCCCCTCATCAGAACGCTCTGTTTGAATAGGTGTGGCTGATTGTAGACTCGGAAGTAAACGGCCACTGCTATGATTGGCTAACAGTTGTGTGTGTTTGACAGCCTACGGAAGCAGTTCCGGGCGGATGACGTATGAGGTCGGCTTTACTATGCAGCTTTACTATGTTCAAACTTTTGACTGGTAGATTTTTAACAAATGTGTTTTGATTGATTTTTAAGCACTTACATTGGCTTCCATTCCTTCAGCTTTTATAATTAACTTGATGCACTGAAAAAGTGTTTAGCTCAGTATGAAAACATATGGCAATAGCAGATGTTTCTGGAAGAGAAAGAGATCTGGATGTGTTTTCCTCTCAGTTTCAGCCCTGAACTGCCAGTGAATTCATCAGGCGACCACAACGGATTCGACACACAGTCAGATGTCTACAGGATGCTTCAGGACTATGAGGAACCTGTGTCAGCTCCCAAACAATCTGGCTCCTTTAAATACCTGCAGGGAATCCTGGAAGCTGAGGATGGGGGTCAGTTTTACTTTTTATTTCTCTCTCAGAATGTATGTTGAAATTGTTAATTGCCAGTAATATGTTAATACCGGTCCTATGATTTTATCAGTTGTACCTTCTTGTAACTTCTATTTTTCTATTTTGACTGTCCACTTTTCACGTAAAAAAAATATTTCCAAATATTCAAACATTAATAAACATAATGAATGTCATACAAGGATTTTGGATCCAAGTTTTGCAGCTTATTTGGAATAAATCCTTTTTTTGGGGGGGGCTGATCATAGTAAACAGAAACCTGTTAAAGGCAGGGTATGTGATTTTTCAAAAACACTTTAGAAAAAAAGACCCAACAAAATTAGATTTTCCAATATTTGCTGCTGTGTCACTCTAAAGTGTGGGCCTTAAATGAAATCATCTGAATGATGAGTTGCTTGCATGCTTGCAATGTTAAGCACTGTATATCTGCTTTTCATTGTAAATAGTCTTTGCAATTTGTCCATCCATATTGAAAGTGAAAATGTTGCCCAACATGGCACAGTAACAGCCAGTTAGAACATTTGGGTCCAGATTTACTGGCAGTTTGCACCGGCGCAATACCTCTTTTGGTGTTAAAAAACTACTGTCAGTTTTTACTAAAACTGATGCGCAGTGATACATTAGCGATGTAAAAGTGTGCACTTTGCAGCTGACCGTATTGCATATGCATTTGTAGGAGTTTCCCTTTGAGACACAACATTTATGGGAGGAGAGGATTTAAATGCATGCAAGGTGATTTGCGGTAGTCAGTTTACTGGTATTTGCACCATTATTCAACACTCCAAAAAAGCATGTCTTTACCCATTTTGTGCCTGTGTTGTTAATAGATTACCTGCACCTGATTACCGGCTGGTTTTGAGTCGCTTGTTTCATGACAAGCTGCAGTTTACAGTCAAGCTACTCTTTTTTTAAAAAGTTTGGTAACAAAAAGTAACTACATTAAATCTGCTTAAGGAGAAATATCTTTTGAAATGTATAACAATCCAATAACATTGTTTATTTTTGCAACCACAGTTTTATTTATCTGATACATAAACACAAAGGGGCAAAATAACAAAACTGTGATACAGTGTTTTATCACAATACATCAGTATTTGCTTGTTACTAAAAATGCTACACTATTTTAAAATTGTCATGCTACTTAAAAATGTATTCAGTAAATGCACTGCATTTTTGGGCCAGATCGCTCTCTAGTCTCTTGCAGGCTAAAAAGCCCCCCAAAATGCTGTGCTTTATGTCATTTAAGCCCAAAAATATGTTTTGTCTAAGCCAAATCCCATAGAGAGACTTCTAGACCGCGCTATACTTACACTTTTGCCATTTCTCGCATGCTGAATTAAAGCCCTGTAGAGCCACAGGGCTCAGAGATCAAGGTGTTTAAGAGTGTAATTAGTGGTATTCGTTGACAGGTTTGGAGTTGTAACCTGTCCCAGCAGTCCTTGGGAATAAGAGTTAATGATCTCACTTTGGCACAGCAGCAGTCGGATGACGGAGGCAGGCACCATTGTATCATGTATCCGTCATTTTTTCTCGGATGTTTCCTCATCCAGCAGCAGGGTGGTTTTCTCCACTGAGCTCATGCTACGCCAGTCCTGGTTCTAAGCTTGGCTGGAAACGGAGAAGATAGGAGGAGGCCTTGGCACCTGTGCTCCATACTTGGCCCCAGCCGTGCCCTGAAGCTAACACACACCCACGATTTTCAGCTACGTCTGCACGGAGAATAGTATCTGACCTGGGACTGAAGTGTGAAGGACATTCATTTCCGGCCATCTCTTGTTCCAGGGACAGCTGCTGAGTGCACATTTTGAGTTGTTTCTCACTTTTCAAAGCAATAGTTCACACAGAAATGAGAATTTTTCAAGAATGTTATCTGAAGAGCGAATTTGTATGTGAATTAATGGAACAGCATAACTGGGGACAGTGTTGGAGAAAGTTACTTTTAAAAGTAATGCATTACAATATTGCGGTACTTCCTAAAAAAGTAACTAATTACATTACTTAGTTACGTTTTATGGAAAGTAATGTATTAGATTACTTTTGCGTATCTTTTGCATTACTTTTTCTCATTTGGCCTGGGTTTGCTTGTTTGTTTTTAATATAAAAAAGTTCTATTTTTGGCAAATGTAAAAGCACTTTCACACCAAAAGTGAAATGAATAAGCTTCAGGCTGAAGGAAATGTAAATTCAAAAAGCTGAAATAAACCTTTCAGTTGTGCTGCCACTCTGGATTGCATAAAAAATAGGACTGACTGGATTGAATAAAGAATTATTTTTGCTTATTAGTGTGGTTGAATTTGATTATTGAACGTCAGCAGCAAAGACACTGGTTAATAAAATGGGATTAAATACATAAAGGATATTTGTGTTTTTTAACGTATTTAATTATTGCAGGTTTGCGTTATATTCTGAGTTTGCATTTCACAGTTTTTATTGATTTTGAGCAATAGTGAATCTGTTTTTGTGCAAGTGAGGTGAATAAATGCATGTTCTCATTTACAACTACAGTATCTTACAACTACATGTATCTCAACTACAGTAGCATCATGTTCACACAGCGCACACAACGCCTCTGCACTCACTCCTGATTTCTCTCATCATGAGGACAGGAGAGCTGTCTGGCAATACTTGGGAAAAGAAAGTAACTGGCATAACTTATTTGAAAAAGTAACTGAGATATTTTCTTGGAAATTAAAAAATAATGCATTACTTTACAAGTTACTTGGAAAAAAATTACTTGTAATGCGTTACCCCCCAAAACTGATGGGAAAAGAAAGTAACTGGCATAACTTATTTGAAAAAGTAACTGAGATATTTTCTTGGAAATTAAAAAATAAATGCATTACTTTACAAGTTACTTGGAAAAAAATTACTTGTAATGCGTTACCCCCCAAAACTGTCATTTAATATACGCAGTGGAGAGACAAAGTTAGTGGAGAGGTTTAGGAGAAAGGAGGAGCAACAGTTAACTTTGGTAGTCCAGTAATCATTTTCTTTGAATGTGTGAGACTTATAAATCATTATCCGCTATAGGTAAAAAACTAGGGGGAAAAAACAGTAAAGTGCAGTAAATGTGTGTGAAAATCGGTGTGTTTATGATTATGATCATGAATTAAAATAATATGAAAACAGATACCATATCAAACAGCATAACAGACTTTTATTTGCTTTTTATTGTGATAGGACAGTATATATAGACAGGAAGCGAAGGGAGTGTGGGGGACGGGATTGGGAAAGGTCCATGAGCTGGGACTCGAACTCGTGACGCCCGAAGCGCAACAGTGCTAAATGTTGGCGCGCTGCCCTTGAAGTGCAGTAAATGTGTGTGAAAATCGGTGTGTTTATGATTATGATCATGAATTAAAATAATATGAAAACGGATACCATATCAAACAGCATAACAGACTTTTATTTGCTTTTTATTGTGATAGGACAGTATATATAGACAGGAAGCGAAGGGAGTGTGGGGGACGGGATTGGGAAAGGTCCATGAGCTGGGACTCGAACTCGTGACGCCCGAAGCGCAACAGTGCTAAATGTTGGCGCGCTGCCCTTGAGGCTATTGGCGCTGGCATAACGGACTATTTTTATACAGATAAAATAGCAGAAAGTGAATGACACCGGAATATTTTTACTGTTCGTTTTATATGAATTACACTGTATTTGTACATTTCAATGAAGATAGTCTCGTTCAAATATCCCCCTTCTCACCCGCATTTTAACATATCGCACAACCTCCACAGCACTGTCATTGAAGAAAGCATAACAGTCAACTTGTGACCTGATAACCAATCGCATTACAGCCTTGACATCATTAAATTGCTCTCAGAGTTGTGCGACAGTCAACCACTGTTTGCGGATACCAAATAAATAAGAAGTGGCATATGGTCAAATCAACCTGTTGCAAAATTGTCCATGTCCAATTGTCCATTTTCATATAAAACAGCTATTTTTTTCGGTGTAAACTCAAAACTAGATTGTTTAATGGAAAACATGTTGAAGATTATCCGAGAGACTGTTGATCCATTAAGCTGTTAAAACCACTGACATCCATTCAAAACAACTGTCAAAATACCCATGACTACTTAGTCAAATTGCAGCCGAACTGCCCATAAGATCCGCACATAGGTGTTGATTGACATGCCTGCCATAGCATGATGTTTGCATTTGCTTTGTTGTTTGTATCATCAGTTGAGTGTTTAGTTATTTTTTTAAATTAGGACAGTGTTTTATTGGATTGATTATGAAAATGAAATATTAAACACTGTTCATATTTCCTTCAATTGTATGCTGCCCCATAATGAGGAAATTAAATTGAATTTGAGTGTTTGAATTATCACTTGAATTTTGTTCAAAAATGTGAAAAATTTGAATTCATACCATCTGCGACTTCTTTAAGGGGTCCTATTATGCTTTTTCACTTTTTCAACCTTAGTGTGTAATGTTGCTGTTTGAGAATAAATAAAGATCTGCAAGGTTACAAAGTCCACTCAAAACAGAAGACACTTTCCAAGAACTACAACAAACGGCTTTTTCCATTCTCAGATCCTATGAATAGTTGATTACTTACTGTATATGAATATATAAGCAGGGATGCACATACGTTTTTCAGTCTGGTTCTCATGAGAGCACCTGGAGGTTTGGTTTGGTGTGACGCATTAAATATAACTATAAAAAATAAAATAATTATTAATAGAAGTAATAGTATTATTGCCCTTTTTCATAAAATAATAAACAAAACAATAAATACAGTCTGATATTACTATTATATTTTAAAATAAAAAGCGAGTATTGAATAAAAATACAGTTATTTTACAGCAGGCTACACTTTAAAAATACAATGCTAATATTTACATGTTCTTTTCTTTTTAATGAAGTTTCATCATTTTCAAACTTAAAATCAGCAAGCTTTTATTTTGGCAGGTTGCTGGCAAGTAAGTATGGTTTCAGCGCTGCCGAGTGAAGCGCGTTAATGAATGAAGTGTCGCTGACTGGTTTTGCGATTTGCTCTGAAACCGTGAGCACATGAAGTAGCCTACATTTATGCTTTGATTTCAAATGGAAATTTTATACAGTATTACAGTCAGTCAATCTTAACGGTGATTGTGCATTAACAGCTGTCAAACATGTCGGTATGCAAATGAGCGGTCTGAACTTATTTACCCAGCACATTTTTTATTTTGGTCAGGCATGTGCAGCCACTTATGTGCATCCCTGCATATAATATTCTGTGCCCTTGACTCGAGTTTATTTTCCTTTCAGGTATCTCACCCGTGGACAGACATGGTGTCAGAGGCTTGCGTTCCCCTGTCAAATCCCCCGTGCCAAAGCTGGGCAGCCCCATAACAGCTCCTCTGGCGCCAATCCCCGGCTTACAGAAGCTGCCGCAGTGCACACGCTGCGCAAACAGCATTGTGTAAGTGTGATGTTGTGCTTCTTATCAGTTTGTTTAAATATATAGTAATATTTGCAGAGAAAAGCCCACAAATGAACATTAAAAAAGACGATTGATAGTACTGACATAACAAGTGACTATGGAAGCCAAAATGTGTTTGTTTCCATATCTTTGAACACAGAGGCGGACTTAGCCATTAGGCAAAGGTCGGCGACTGCCTTGGGCCCCCAAAAGCCAAGGGCCCCCTATAATGCTTTTCATATACGAGATGCGCTTTAAGCGCGGACACGCGAGTGGTTGCTGTTCACGGTGTTTATTACCACGACAACCGTCTGCGTGTCCAAGTTGAATGTGCTTCTTGTGTATCCTGCTTGTAGCAAATGAAAATATCATGCATCTTGTGCTGTAATTAAATATTGAGCAACAGTGCGTATTACATGTCTATTGTTTTAAATGCCGCTTTCTCATTTATGAGAAGGCCCCAAGTAGGCTAGAGGACGCATACGCAGTTACTTTTTTGGTTGAAATTATCCTTAGGTGTTTAAATGTATAATTTCCTTTTCATTATTTTTTTAGTTTCATTCAAATTTTTAGTTAAAATAACTAAAAATAAATGTGTTTTAAAGTTTACAATTAGACAGCCTTTGGAGAGTGTATAAGCCCAGACACACAAAATTTTTAGTTAAAATAACTAAAAATAAATGTTTTAAAGTTTACAATTAGACAGCCTTTGGAGAGTGTATAAGCCCAGACACACAGGCTTACGCTGGTAACTCATCAATGGACTTTCCTCGTCAGTTTAGGCTATATTTTTTCACACTTTTCTCATTCATGAATGAACCTCTGAAGGGAACTGTCTTCAGAAAAGTTTCGATGGCATTTTCATTTTATCTGATAAAGTAGCATTTATGAGCGGAGCACTGCTTTGTTTACAGCCAGGGAAACTGCTACATTTCTGCCATTCCAAAAGTGCCTCCTACTGGCAGGGAGTGAATGCATTTTTAATAATCTCCGTATGCAGTTTTTGTTGAACTGTCTGTATTAATACTAAGTAAACTAAATTAAATAAAACATTGACTATCACAATGTTTTCATTTTATCTTACGTGAAAGCTCTACTTTATATCATATAAAGTACTCTACTAATATCATATTCTAGCTAATTCTGCGTTTGTTCATGGTGAAATTAAGGACAAAAACATATTTCTTGTGTCTTAAGAAAATATATTAAGTATGGTCTCTAACTGTTTTTTTGTTTTATTTGTTTGTTTGTTTTGAGCGGAGCACTGCTTTGTTTACAGCCAGGGAAACTGCTACATTTCTGCCATTCCAAAAGTGCCTCCTACTGGCAGGGAGTGAATGCATTTTTAATAATCTCCGTATGCAGTTTTTGTTCAGACCAATGCAAAAGTCCACCCACATAACCCTGTTTTAAATAAATTAATATAATAATTTATACTTCTAACTCATCCCTTTTCTTTAAAAATTGTTTAAATGCTCAAATATGAGGTTTATCAATTTTATAATTTATTTTGTTTTGTGAAAACCTGTATTTCAACTGTAAATCAGTTGCTATTTCATGGTCTACAACAGGGGTTCCCAACCACGTTCCGGGAGCCCCCAACCCCCCATTTTGCATCTCTCCTTTGAGAGATTAAGGAGAAATGGAAAACATACAGTGTTGGGAGGGCTCCAGGAATGTGGTTGGGAACCCCTGCTCTACAACATGAGGCCCCCAAATCACTAAATCCGCCCCTGTTTGAACATGAACCTACGAGCCTTAACTTGCTGTCAGTGAATGACTTTAACAGTACACAACAATAGTGGCACGTTCATAGAGTGTGTAATTGTTAAAGGATTAGTTCACTTCCAGAATAAAAATTTCATGATAATTTACTCACCCCCATGTAATCCAAGATGTTCATGTCTTTCTTTCTTCAGTCGCAAAGAAATTAAGATTTTGGAGGGAAACAAATTTCAGGATTTTTCTCCATATAATGGACTTCAATGGGGACCAACGGGCAGAAGGTCCAAACTGCAGTTTTACTGCAGCTTCAAAGAGCTCTACATGATCCCAGCTGAGGAATAAGAGTCTTATCGCTAGAGAATATACGTTTTTATTTTTTTTAAGAAAATGAGCGATGGTTTTGCTAGATAAGACCCTTATTCCTCGTCTGGGATCGTGTAGAGCCCTTTGAAGCTGCACTGAAACTGTGATTTAGACCTTCATCCCGTTGGCGACCATTGAAGTCCATTATATGGAGAAAAATCCTGGAATGTTTTCCTCCAAAACCTTAATTTCTTTGCGACTGAAGACAGAAAGACATGAACATCTTGGAAGACATGGGGGTGAGAAAATTATCAGGACATTTTTATTCTGGAAGTGAACTAATCCTTTAAATGAAGCTGACCTGCCGCAGCATGTGTTCCTCTCGCTGCACAGGTGATCCAGATATTACTGTAAGTCACTCTACCTCTGTTGGCACTTTCCCACAGTTTCTATTAAAAATGAGTAAACAGTGAGGTCACATGATAAGGAAGTTCCACAGAAGAGTGAAACAATGGGTTCCTTGTAAATGCTGTTGACAGATATTACAGCCTCCAAATATGGAACTGTTCATTGAGATTAATAATAGAAAGTTGATCCCCAGCTAACAAAAAAGTTATAAAAACATTATTTCTGAATGTTCTCTGAACGTACAAAATGTCCAGATTTTAAAATGTTTTAGAAACGTTTATGTGAACATTAAGGGAACATTACATTTTATATTTTGCAACATTATGGGAATGTTACTTTTGAATGTTCTCTAAACATTCTAAAACAAGTAGTAACATTTAAAAAAAGCTAGACGAACATCCAACTAAAACATTTCAGAAATGTTCCATGAGGCTCCGCCCACTTTTGAGCTTCAGAAACGCTCTTCGGAAATCTACGGGTGACGTCACGGACACTACGTCCATGTTTTTATACAATCTATGGTGCATACAGATAACACTAAACACTAACGGTAGAATGTAAAAATACAAATAAATACAGAAAAATTTAAGAACAGATAAAGTAGCACAAGGCACATGGCAGATAGAGTGCAAACCTGTGAAATAAACAAATAGTGCAGATATAATGAGTGTAGTGCAAAAAAAAAAAGGCACGCCAAGGCCCGTGTGCAGCCGCCGGAGGGATATGACGTGGTGGCAGTGTATCCCAACTCCAAAGTGGAACTGGTCTAAGCACACACACACACTCGTAAACCCAAACACACACATACACACACAGGTTATCCTTGAGGATTCAGCTTGGTGAAGTGGAAAATGAGAATAACAAACTGAAATTTCTTTTTCAGTCCCTGCTCAACTTTATCCTGGACTCACGTTCTGTAGTTTGTTAACAAATACTGAAATCGAGCAGCACTCATTCCTAGGTTAGACAGCCTTCCTAACATTCGTACAGAGCAATTCTAGTGTTGCTTTAAGAAGATAGTTTGAAACGCAAGATAACAGAATAGACAAAACAACATGTTCCAGAAGAACATCTGTTCACATAAATTCCAGTGGCACACCAACAATTTATTTTTCTGAAAGCTGTGGTGAACTGAGGTGCTCAAAAAGGCCAGGAAGAATGTCTCGAGCCATGTGGAAAATGGAAATGGTATTCATTTATTCAGAACGTTTGGGACGGTGTTTATTCTTTAGCTAAGAAGCCAAGACGTGTTTTTTTTTTCTAGCTTCCATCACCAAACCTAGCTTCATCTTTGCCGTAAACTAAAGAAAAAGAGACTGTAGGAATGGAAAACTGCAGAAAAATACCACCATCTTTTATCTATTCAGCATGTTTTCTGTCACAAATCTAGCTAGCTGAAAAAAAATTGGTTTAATGGCGCAGACGTTTCTAGATAACTCTATCACTCCCCCTTGAGTACTGATGTTCGTTACCGCCACAGTAATGCGAAAACACACGTTATGTACAATAGCTCCACATGGTTGAAATGCGTTGGCCAAGCGATTCTGACTGCGTTTGCATATTTGCGTGCAGTATGTGATTTAAACTAGATTTATTTTGATCGTTTGGATGACTTCATGTAAAACGAAACCAGAATAGTAAAGTAGATATGCTTTTTTTTTTTGCCTTTTCGTTAAGTTGCGAGGCTTTTGTAAATTCTGTAAAAAATGAGAAATGTTTGCTTTTCTAGTTTCTTATGAATGATATATTGTGTGGGTTTTAGACACGTGTAACACATTACTTTGTTGTACTAAGAACCTTCTGTAAATAATTTGAATGCTAACAGATCATTTTTTCAACATAATGACATCTGAACTGAAAAGCGAAAACTGAAAACAGGTACTTATAGTCATTTTAATGGAATATTATGTCATTCCAAGCCCTTCTGACTTTCTTCTGTGGAACACAAAGGAATCATGCTCATGCTGGCCAGATGCAGTTAAGCTACTAAAAAGCAGCATGAAAGTATTATAAAAATAGTCCATATGACTTGTGTGCTGCAGTCGGAGTTCTGTGAAGCCATACAATAACACTGTGTGAGGATCAGACCAAAACTGAAGGCAGTATTGTGTTGCAGGTCAGTTTGACTCATATTCCATTTTCAAAACTGCTTGATAATCTGACTGGTTTAACTATTTATTTCTTCTCAAAGTTTTGTGATTGTTTCTCATTTACAGTCATGAATGTGCATGCAAAGTTTCGACACGCAGATGTGTTTTGGAAACGCTGAACAAATTTTGGTTACCGCTCGGTTATTTGTAATAGGGGTCAAATTGAACCCCATTGGTTTCCATACAATTTGCCAAAAAATCAACAGCAAACACGTCCATCTAGAGTGTGTTTACATAGAAAACAATGGTAGCGCATTGGAATGGAAAAACGCGTTTCCTCTGCCATAGCTCTCAAATATCTTTCATCTTTAAATATGACACATCAAGACACATTGCATCAAGCATCGCTGGTTCTCACATGAAGACCTTGATTAGCTAATTCAGGTGTGTTTAATTAGGACAGGAGCCAAACGCCGCA